TGGAGGACTAGTAGAGGTACAGATGGACAAAGTGCGGACAATAGCGTTCATTTTCCTTTTGGAAAATGCGCTAAAAAAACTAAGAAAGAAGTATGTGGTTGTCAATATTTTATTTGTACTCCGTGGATTAAATCAACGTGTTTTGTCATTAATTTAAGGTGAAGTGACCCACTTTTGCTCCCGGAGGGTAGTAGGCGGTAGTTTTCTCATAGCCGCAGTTTTGAATAAGATCTTTAAGGTAAACTGACATTTATTATTATACGGTTACAATTTGGCACGATAAGGTAGGTATACTGATCCTACAATCAAACAAATTTTTTCCTTCAAATTTGGACATTGAAACTACTGTAGCAGATTACAGGAGTGCAAAATTAGCGTATAAACCACAGGACTAAGATGCGTCCCAATCCCGTTTCGGGCAAATAATCTGCACTCTCGGGATTAAAACACAAACTTTAGTCTCTTGGTATATAGGTAATACACTAGAACTAAAGTGTCACTTTTTCTCTCGGAGGGATTAAAACGCAATTCGGGATGATAATGTAACGCAATAATCGCTTCATAACTGCTTCTAAATTTCCCCCGTTACGTTTACCTAAGAAAAACAACTACGTTTGATATTTCGGTTGAGACTGCAGTGTATCTCAGCTGTTTTTAAAGATGGAGACTTGCAAGTTTCGCAAATCTGTGCCACTTTTTTGTGAAGTTTTTAATACCACAAATAGGATCAATCTTAACTATGTTTGTTTCTGAAATATGGGGTACAAAACGAAAAGTTTGACTTTTTGAGATGTTATCTTACTACCGATGTAAGATTAAAAAAGGTAAAAAACTGCCTGTTTTAGATATTTTTATGTAGAATCAAGTGGCGTACTCAAAAAACATGTTTGGGCCACCGTTTCTCAGATCTGACCAAAAGTTTTTTTAATGCAGCACGAGCACCCTGTATATCTTAACGTGAATTTTTTGCATTCTTTTGCCTGATTACATGAAATTGTTAAATAATTTAGTAGATTTTACTTGTAATTTAAGATACAGAAGTTGAGAAACATGTTTGTAAAAGAATTATTGCATCTATTCGAAATGAGGGGATATTATCAAAGTAAAATTTAATTGTGGCGATGGCACATGTGCAAAGTTTGTAGATAAGGAGGTGCGATGTAAACAAGTGCTCGCATTTCGTAGGCCTTTGCCGAAAATGAAAAATAGTGATGCGGATGGTCGAGTTTGCGTACCGATGTAGCGGGCGATTTCCAGTATAAATCAAAATTTAATAAATAGTGTTGTGTCATTTGAATTACGTATTTCCGGAACCTCAAGATTTTTATAAGTCAGTGTTAAAATTTTCCAGCATTTCGAAGCCCAGCTGGCCCCTGATCTAGATTCAATTTTTCGTTAGTTCTTAAAGATAGAGTTTATTGAAAGATGGGGTTTGTTACAAGGTTTAATTTGTTGTGTATGTAGGCAAGTGTTATTTGAATTGCTTAACGAACTTATGCCATTGCACACAGAAATAATTTTTGCACCCCCAACGTGAGGCACAGCATTTATTTTTTTGCGTGCGAATGAAGAAACACAGCAATATTTTAATATTTTTTCCCTTTTACATAAATGGAAAATAATCAAATATTAAGTAGGCAGTATATACTTCGTACTTACTTCTTCATTGCGTATGCTTTCACCAGCAAGTGTCCCAGTAAAACTCGACGCAGATTCCTCTATGGCTAAACCCCAAATCGATGGATCAGGTAAAAGTTCCTACTCGACCAACTGCCTCGTCTGAAATCTTGTTCGATTAGGATCCAGGATTACCAAGGATAAGAAATGTACTTATCAGTCTAAAGGTTTCCTTGCTGCCAATCTCAAAGTCTTTTGGAGTATTCCACGTCGCGACTGTCCAGTTCGAAATGGTCCCGATTTCACGCTTTCCACTTGAACGAAATCGACTCGCCGCATTTGCTTCTTTCTGGTCTGCTCCATGGATTGCTTTGTCTTCCTGCTGGTGTCCAATAAGGATAGGAAGGAAGGAAGGGGCCCACCACCACCCCTGCTTGTCTTTGTCAAGCAGTCCACTTTCAGGATAGGTGAA